GGAACTTTTTCAGAGCACATGCCATTTGTGGGCAGGTCCGGAAACGAAAGTGGGCAGAGCAACAGGCAAATTTTACCTTTGTGTAGCAGGCTAGTTTCTACATAACCTTCAACAGATTAGCTTTGAATCCAGTTGGATCTGGTTGGAATGTATTCCTGACCTCTTCTTGTCTGAATGGATGGGGGTGGGTGGCAGGTGTAGACAGTAGTCTAATGTGCAAAAATAAACAATGACATCCACTTCTCCACCCACTGTTGCCTCTGGCCCTCCCAACCAATAGCATGTGGCCCCCAGAAAGTTGCCCAGAGGCTAATGTGGCCCTCAGGCTGAAAAGGGAATGCACCCTCTAGGGGAAGCAACACTGCCCTCAAGAGCTGCTTGATGTTGCATGTGTCACCATCTCAGAAGACACATTCATTACCACAAGTAATAATAATAACAGCAAGAACAGCAGCAAAGGCCTGCAAGTCAGAGCTTTCCAAACTATGTGTTGTGATATGTTGGTGTGTTGGCTGCAGTGTGTAGGTGTGTTGCGCAAATACTCCCCATGCTCCTCCCAGGAGTTAGTTTGCTAGTGAAACTGAATTACAGTCATACCTCATGTTACGTCCGCTTCATGTTACGTTCTTTCAGGTTACGTCCTGCGGTGACCCGGAAGTACCGGAAAGGGTTACTTCCGGGTTTCGCCACTCACGCATGCACAGAAGCTGCAAAATTACATCACGTGCATGCGCAGAAGCAGTGAATCGCAACCCGCGCGTGTGCAGACGCGCTGCTGCGGGTTGTACTCTTTGCATGTTGCAAACTGGCCTCCAGAATGGATCCCATTCGCAACCAGAGGTACCACTGTACTGTGTCGCGATGCACGTCTAAAAATGCTGGTGTGTCACCAACACGAAAAGTTTGAAAGCTCTGCTGTAAGTCATTTGAGGCTCTCCTCCGGGTGCGTACCCCACAGGAGGTCCAGAGAGTGGCAACACAAGAATGGGCCTTTTCTGCGGTGGCTCCCTTCTTGTGAAGTGCTCTCCCCAGGGAGGCTCACCTGGCACCATCATTACCTACCTTTAGGCTCCAGGCAAAAACATTTCTTTCCCACCAGTCCTTTAGCTCTGAATGATCTGCAGCCTCCTTCAGTGGATGGGATGTTTTAGTCCTTTTAAAAATGTGGAGTTTTATATTTTTTCTCTGTTTTGTTTTTGTATTGTTATATGTATTGTTAATTGCTTTGAGTTGCATTTGCAAAAGGGGGGGACCCTAATTAGTACAAGCAGGAGGAGGCTGATATAAATCACACTCAGCTACACAAGCTGCAAATAAAATGTTTAAAGTGCAGTATGCAAATGTGACACAAATGGCGACAGTGATCTATGGAAAATTCAATGTATTTTTTCAAAACGTTTTTTTAAAAAGCATTTTCACAGCGGGTTTTTTTTATATGTGTGTAGATTCTACATCAGAGATGGGAGAATTGGTTGGTTTTGGTTTCTCTCAGTTTCTGTTTTTTCTCTCTCTCAGTAATAGTTGGAGTTTTGGCTGGTAAGATACAATAAGCCTTGATTTTTAAAATAATAATAAAAATATTTACTGAATAAAGCTTTTTTCCCCAAAGAAGCTTGTAAAGGCTTCAAGCTGCAAGAAAGGAGAGTCCGACTAAACATTCGGAAAAACTTTCTGACAGTAAGAGCTGTTCAGCAGTGGAACAGACTCTCTTGGGAGATTGTGAACTCTGCTTCACTGGAGGTTTTTAAGCAGCAGGTAGATGGCCATCTGCCATGGATGCTTTAGCTGAGATTCCTGCATTGCAGGGGGTTGGAAGGGACCTTTGGGGTCCTTTCCAACTCTAAGATTCTATGAAAGAGAAATCCCCAGTCGATTGCACCTTCCAATTGAATTATAGGAGGTGATGCTATTTGGATAAACCCGTAGTGCTACTGTATTTTTCCGTGTATAAGATGCCCCCATGTATAAGATGCCCCCTACTTTTGGGGACCCCAAATTTAGAAAATGGGCATATATGTACTATCCATGTATAAGACTTTTAACCTTACTTTGAAGTAAAAAAAACCTAGTCTTATACATCAGGGGTGTCAAACTCAAATTCATCGGGGGCCGTACGAGCAATTTGGTCACCCTCAAAGGGCCGGTTGTATCTGTATCTTGCATGTAAAGTGGAGGTTTCCTGTGTAGAACGGCCGGCGCCGCTAGAGGGCAGACGTTCTCTGGCTTGTAGGCTGCTGTGCATGCGCTGAAGAGGCGGCTTTCTTGTGTAAAAAAAAAAAGCGAGAATAAAAGGTGAAGGCTGGCGGCCGGCGGCAGCTACATGGGCCACATGATGAGGTCTGGCGGGCCGGATTCGGCCCGCGGGCCTTGTGTTTGACACCTGTGTTATACATGGAAAAGTACGGTAATTTCGTGTGTTTGTGTGCAGGTACTGAGATACATAGCCTAACTTTACCAAATTAATTCACATCTCTGCTCTGCAATGAAACACTGACCTCTGCTGGACCCCACTGTGCATCACAAGCTAAAATCCTCTTTTTCTTTTTTTAAACTCATCCTCCTGTTTTGCAGTATAGAATAATGGAATTTTAAAGTTGGAAGGGACCACAAGGGTCATCAAGTCCAACCCCTGCAATGCAGAAATCTTGTGGAGGTTGAACCCACAACCCTGAGATGAAGAGTCCCATGCTCTACTGCCTGAGCTATCCAGGAGATATTATTGTTCCCTCTAATTTGTTCTGGAAGTGATCATTGCAAGATAAAACTGACATTGCTCATGTTGCCAAAATGGCAGCAAGAGAAAGGTTGTACCCAGTGGCGGGGCTTCATGCTCCGGCACCAGGGGGAGAGAGAGAGAGCAGGCGGGGGGGCGTGCCGCCCTGGGGGCGGGGGGCACTGCCTGCGGGGGCATGGCACCCAGCACGGGGGGGGGCAGCTGCGATGGCACCCCACTGGGATCGTGTTTCCGGGGGTGGTGCGCTCCCCCCACACTCCTCTTCCTCCTCCATAAAGCGAGATGAGCTCCGCAACCCCAGAGTCATTCGCGACTGGACCTAATGGTCAGGGGTCCCTTTACCTTACCTTTAGCCTCTTTAAAAGGCCTTCTATCAAACAGGCTGATGGAGGGGTCATGGAGCAATCTGTTTGAAATCTACTAGCCTAATGGGTTTTTGATAACATTTTCCATCCACTGCATCTACCGCAGAAGCCAAGCAGACTGACGGAGGAGTGTGGAGCAACCTGGTCCTCCTCCACCACCAACTGGTTTGCTCTGCTGCATATCATTCTTGGTTGCCAGTAGTTAGGAATAGAGGAAGCTGCCTTATGCAGGGTCAGACCACTGGTCTATTGGTCCACCTAGCTCAGCATTCCCTAAACTGAATGGCAGTGGCTCTCCAGGACTTCAGGGATCTCTCCTACTCTTTCCTGGAGATTCTCAGGATGGAAGCTGGGTCCTTCTGCATGCAAAGGAGATGCTCTACCACTGAACTATGACCCTTCTCCCATTAGTAGGCAAGTTGTTAAATGGCTTAGCAGTAGGTCATCTGCCCTGAATGTAGAAGGTCCCAGGTTGAATCCCCCGGCATCCCCCTGCCTGACATCCTAGAGAGGCACTGCCAGTCAATGTAGACAATATTGAGCTAGATGTACCATTAGCCTACATCAATATGAGGCAGCTTTCTTGCATCCTCTGCTATAGCAATCCTACACTATAAACCACTTAGAGGTTTTACTGCAATTGATTGGTGTACTAATTAAATAAATAAAATACATTAATAAAGTGTATTAATTTTGTTCAGTAAATAAATGTTTCTATGTATGTTATAAGGTTGCATTACATTTTTATTTCATCTTGGCTGCAAGGAGCTCAGGGCAATTACAATATCCCCTCTCCCCTTTATTCTCACAATAATCCTGAATTGCAAGGTGAGACTAAGAGAGGGCACTCACCCCTAGGTTATTCAGGAATCTTTATGGTCCAAGTGAGGATTTGAACCCAAGTCTTCCTGGTCCCATATAATGCATTTGCACTGGTTCAGCCACAGCAGGAATTTCTGGTAGATTAGTATTTTGATATTTGATCATAGTTCTAGAGGTGCATCATGAGGAATGGTTGACAGAGTTGGGTATGTTTAGGCTGGAGAAGAGAATACTGAGAAGTCATAGGATAGCTGTCTTAAAATAAATGAAGGGCTGTCACACAGAAGATGGAGCAAGCTCGTTTTCTGCTGCTCTAGAGTGTAGTACTCGAACCAATGGATTCAAATTACAAGAAATGAGACTGCGACTAAACCTTAGGAAGAACTTTATGGTGTTAGGAGCTGTTCAGTAGTGGAATGGACTCCCGTGGAAGGTGGTCGACTCTCCTTCATTTGAGATTTTTAAGCTGAAGTTGGATAGCCATCTGTCAGGGATTCTATAGCTGTTGTTCCTGTATTGCAGGGGTTTGGACTAGATGACCCTTGTGGTCATTTCCAACTCTACAATTCTACAGTCCCACGTGACTCATTGAAGAAATCCCATTAACAAAAATAAATACTTTATATGTATTGTTAAAAAAAACTTACAGATGAAGTTCTGCTTAAATGAAGTCCTTTGTATTCTACCCAAGAAAGCATATTTGAGATTCATTTTTATAAAGTACCTCCAACAATAACGACACTACAGTTTGAAGAAGTGTCATTCATACATTTTAATATCGCATTTGCACAGCCCCGCTTTTTTCTTCGTGTCAGAAATTAATGAAGTACAGAAGGATAATTGGCTCGTTTTGATGCCACTGTAATACAATCACCACCCTCTGGAATTACATGTCCTTTGCTCAGAGGCAGAGCTGAATGGAAAAAAGAAAATCGAACTTGATTGTTAACACAGAGGTAACTTTATCCAGCTGGACCTACATGCCCAACACTGCTTCAAGTGCAGAAATACTGCCTATCAGTCCAAAGCTGCACACCATCTTCAAGGCTTGGAAGGTTCAAGCATAACCTACCAGCATCATGCAGGTAAGTCTTGAACTATATTTTTATCGGCAGCCCCCTGGACTACCATGTCAATACATGAAGACTGTTCCAAACGTTAAACCTCACTTTATAAGTGAAGAGAGACATGAAATTAACTTCAACATCTGTGCAATATGGAGGGCAGGTCTGCTACGCAAAATACCAGTCTAAGAAACTGCCTTTTACTGAGTCAGACCAATGGATCCATCTAACTCACTGCCCTCCAGATGTCTTGGGATACAACCCCATCAGTCCACACACACACACACACACACACACACACACACACACACTGACTGTAGCTCCTGGAAGCTGTAATATAAAACATCTGGAGGACACAGGGTTGGCAAAGGCTGATCCACGTTGACTGGCAGTAGCTTTCCAGGGGTTTCAGGCAAGGACCTTTCCAAGTCCTGTGCTGGAGGCTGGACCCAGGAGCTTTCACATGTGAGGCAGGTGCTCTACCACTGAACTACAGCCAGTGGTTCGCAGTTGCACAGGGTTGGTGGTCTGTTATTATTTCTGCAGCAAAAGCGCTAAAGGCTCTCTATCTCCAGTGTCCTAGAGCCACCCTACCAACAAACAGAAAAGGGTGAGTGTTCCAAAGCTAAGCATCTGGGAACACTGAAAACACAAGGCACCTCAATTTCAAGAAAATAGGGTGCACATGCAATGGAATTTCCGAAAGAAGATATTGGGAGCACACCCAGTCATTTGCCCATGTATGTACACATAAAATAGTAGATTGAGCTGAAAGACAAACACATGATGTACAATGATTGTTGCAATGAACCCCTAATTATTATTGTTGTTGTTGTGTAAGATTGTATAAGAAAGTTGTATAATCTTAGAGGAGGCATGGCTGTAACTATCATGAAGCGGACCCTGCACGTCTGAATTTGCCCCTTCCCTAAATATATGGGGTGAATACTAGGGTTACATCTGTTTGAATCTGTAATCAGCTTGAACTGGAATATGTGACCACTTACTTAACCCAACAGGGCTTACTTTTAAGTATAGATACAGGATTGCACTGAAAACTTTTAACTACTGTAATTGGTAGGGCCAAGAGTTGAGGACACATCATTTCTTCCAGGGCTATCCATCCTGGCTTCTGGAATGATACTGCAGATTAGTGAAAGGGGGAGAAATTAGATTTGGTTTGCATTTAAAGGCAAGCCTACCTAATTTTCACTTTCTGAAACAGTATGTGAACAAAAACAGAACCATCTATTGACATTCACATTTCTCCAAATTTTGAAATGCAGTTCTCCAGCCAAGTACAAAAATGCATATACAGGCAACTCCCCATTTAAGTGTGATCACATACATGCACACCAAACCCAGGTGTAGCCCCCAAATGTCATGAAAAGGGATTGAATGATGGGAGGCTTATGCAGACTCCATTGACATGCATAGGAGTCCAGAATGGAACCCCTGCACAAAACGAGGATTGCCTGATAATGCATATATTAGTGAAAATTGCGCACAGAGATACATTGGGTTGTATCTAAGTTATACTCAGAGGAGACCCATTGAAATTAATGGGCCAAACTTAGAATAGACTCATTGAAAGTAATGGACATGAGTGAGTAGAAATAGCATATTACAACCAGGGCTTTTTTCTCAGCTGGAACTCAGTTCTGGCATCTCTCAAGTAGCATTGGCATTCTGAGAGAACAAGGGAGGCGTTCACAGTGAGTTCCAGCACTTTTTTTCCTAGAAAAAGAGCACTGAGAACAACTCAGTATATTGGAGATTGCTTTGCAAAAATGTGCATATTAGCATAAATTCACACTAAGACTAACATTCACAACTTTATTTAAGTAGAATATGAAGAAAGACAGCGCAACAACATGTATAGTTATTTAACATGCAGAAGATAACAAGTAATGTAATAAACCAGAAAGGGAAGATGAGGGAAGTCAGTGGGAGGATGGGGATTGTAAAATATAAAATTTGGATAACTGTATTTGCAAATTGTTACAACAAAGAAACCCAATAGTGTTTTTTTTAAAAAAAAATCTGTATGTTTTTAAAACCTACCACTCTCCTCCCAAAAGAGGGTAAAAGCACATGGCTTTAGTATGCATGTGAAAATAAGAATGATGCAAAATATAAAACGTGTCTGGTAATCTTAGGCACTCATATAGGATCACAGAAGAAGGAAGTAGTCCATATACAACTATGAGAGGAGGTGGTATTATTATTATTATTATTAATTAACTTTCTATACCACCCTTCAGCCAAGGATCACAGGATGGTTTACTATATAAAAATACTTAACACAGTAATAAAAACCACAAATACACACTGTTTAAGAAGCCATAGATTAGCCAAAGGCCAACAAGTGAGCCTCCCGGGGGAGAGGATTCCAGAAGTTGGGAGCCACCATAGAAAAGGCCCATTCTCATTTTATCACTCTCCAGAGCTCTCACCGGGGGGGGGGGGCACATGAAGAAGAGCCTCAGATGACGGTTGCAGGATGCGAGTTGGTTGAGTATGAGTATGTTTCCGAGCACGATTCAAAGTGTTGGTGCTGACCTTTAAAGCCCTAAACGGCCTCAGCCCAATATACCTGAAGGAGCATCTCCACCTGCATTGTTCAGCCCAGACACTGAGGTCCAGCGCTGAGGGCCTTCTGGCGGTTCCCTTGCTGTGAGAAGCCAAGTTCCAGGGAACCAGGCAGAGGGCCTTCTCGGTAGTGGCACCCACCCTGTGGAACGCCCTCCCAGCAGGTGTCAAAGAGATAAACAACTACCAGACTTTTTAGAAGACATCTGAAGTTTAGGGAAGTTTTGAATGACTGATGTTTTAATGTATGTTTAATGTATGTTTAATGTAAGACTGATGTTTTAGTGTATCTGAAGAAGTGTGCATGCACACGAAAGCTCATACCAAGAACTAACTTACCGTAGTTGGTCTTTAAGGTGCTACTGGAAGGAATTTTTTTTTGTTTTGACTATGGCAGACCAACATGGCTACCTATCTGTAACTGATGTTTTAATGTATTTTTAATATTTTGTTGGAAGCCACCCAGAGTGGCTGGGGAAACCCAGCCAGATGGGCGGGGTATAAATAATAAATCTATTATTATTATTATTATTATTATTATTATTATTATGGTGGTGGTGGTGGAAGAATCATTGCACCACACACTCTTGAAGAGGAAGCAGACACTAAACCTCTTCTCTTTTTTGCCCTGCAGCTAATCTTCTGCCGGCTAAGGACCCACCAGTGGTGCTTCATTCTTTTTAATATTGTTCTTTTCCACATTTTGTTCTTCGGAGCTGATCTCGTGGAAGAATACTTCTTGCGAGCACTCCCCACCACCTACACAGACATGAAGGTCCTTGAAGCCAGGGAGAGAGCACGGAAGCTGGATATGACCCCCTTGAAGGCCAATATCTCCAAGGCTTATGTAGCTAGCAGATCAGAGGCCTGCTCCAACCAAGAGATCTTCCTCCTTGTCCTAGTCTTTGGCAGCCCTGAAAACTTGTCAAGGCGCAACACCATTAGAGAAACATGGGCCAACCAGACACACGTCAGGGGTTATGGTACTCTCATTTTGTTTGTGTTAGGGAAGCCCTCTTCAGAAGGCACCCAGCTGGAGGTAGTCCAGGAGATGGAGAAGCATCAGGACCTCATTCAAGGCTCCTTCCTGGACTCTGTAGAGAACCAGACACTGAAGACACTGATGGCTGTGGAGTGGGCCATAACATTCTGCTCCAGGGCCCGGTTCATTCTCAAAGCAGATGAGGAGATGTTCATCAACCTCCCAAGTTTGGTTGAGTACTTGCTCAACTTAAGAACCCATCCCGAAGACATTTACCTTGGGAGGCTGGTTCATCAAGAGAAACCCAACAGAGACCCTCAAAGTCATGGCTTTGTCTCCCAGCAAAAATACCCAGAAAAATATTATCCCGACTACTGCAGTGCGACTGCATTTGTTATCTCACAGGATGTGGCTCGGAAGATCTACGTAACCTCTGGAGAAGTTCCTCTTTCACTGCCTCCTGGTGCCTTTGTGGGACTCTGCAGCAAAGCAGCTGGTGTGGTGCCTGCTCACAGTTCTCGATTTTCTGGGAAAAAGCACATCCGCTACAACCGCTGCTGCTACAAGTTCATTTTCACCTCCTCCACAGCAAGAGGTACCCAGCTGCTCCAAGAATGGGACGAGATCAGCAACAGTAAGGACTGCACTGTACTAGAAACTTATTATGGGTTGGTATCCTGCAAAGTCATGACATACCTGGATGGATTTAAACACCTAAGTGTTGATGCCTTACAGAACGAGGCTCTCCATCTTGCTGATTAAACTGACCCAAAAAACTCACATTCCAATGTTTGATTTTAACCATGGATTTTCTCTGCTGAACCATTTATGCTAGGAGCCATGGCCAGCATCCTGTTGCAAGGAGTTCCACTGACTACTTGTGCTTTGTGTAAGTTTTTCTCTATTCTGAACTTCCCATTTAAAACATGCACACAACAGAAGGGTATAGATGATGAACACTCACAGAACCTGAGCAGGAGTCACAAGGTCATGTGAACTAGTCCACTCCACGAGTGGATGCAAATTCTTTAAATGATGCATCCGTGCATGGTGTGGATGGTAATGTGACAGCCAGGCATGGCAGCAACCAGTTCCCACAGTATTCCTTGGACATGTATAGATGATTTTACCCACCCAAACACTGAATAGTCAGGAGCTCATCACCTCTCCTCCCTTCCATGTTCCAATATCAGTGATCAAAGGATAGACCAATCGAACAATTATTAGCCTTTTCAAGTAAGTTAGGGTAACAGACAATCAAGAACAGGGGAGACTGTTGTTGCTTTTACACTTTCTTGCAAAATTCAGTGGCATCTGATAAGTCAGCCTTTCCCAACCCTGGGTCCTCAGACGTTACTGGACTTCAACTCCCTCAGCTTAGGCCAGTATCCCTCAATAGGCAGGAGGAATGAGAACTACAGTCCAATGATATCTAGGATCCAAGGTTGTGGTAGGTGACTTATCAGAAGCAGAGCAAGATTAGAAATGGGGATCTTGTGCAGCCCTCTAGATGAGGTTGAGGAGGCCAACTCCCATTAGTTCCAGACAGCATGGTCAATGGACAGAGATGATGGGAGCTATAACACAACATCTAGGAGGGCATCAGTTTATCATCCATAGAGAAGATTGTCCTCTGGGTCAATTGAGCAAATCAGTTCACTTATATTAAAACTGTAGCTCTTTGTGTAAAGTTGCTCTTAAATTTTAAAGAATTCTCCTCTCTCAAGATGAATCACTAGTTGAGCAGCTGTGTTTTCATATGTATTCCAGTCTTGTCTGGCCCACTTTTTCATGTTAAGAGCATCATTTTCATGTTCAGACTGAAAATAGTCAACTAAATCTCTTTATTTCAAATGAGCCACAAAGCATAATTGGGCAGACATACTTCAAACAATTGAACCTATTAAGTTTTCCCCAGCCTGGCTGTACAGTGTGAAACAGCTTTCACAAAACAGTACTAATAGAACCACACAAGTCATTTTTGTTTCTAGTGACATAAATCATAGCAGGGGCTCAAAGAAACCACAGAACAAGCCCAAGAGAAAACCTCTCAGAGAGAATCTCGTCTGTGTATATTTCGATTTATAGTTCAAAACACACTTTCTGCTTGTTTCCTAGCAAGCACCTTCACTAATAACTCCTCTTAAATCAGTCCTCAGGTCATATTTCGCATGAGCACTTAAATGGATGTGTAAATAACTTCTGAATTAATTTATAGATGTAGGTTCAAAGGTAGTTAAAAAACAGAAGGAAAGGGGGAATAGCAGGTCTTTTCAGTGGAATAGTCTCAGCATTTTAAGTGCTCCTTGGGCCAGTGTTGAAATTCTTTCCCACTCCCAGATCATGCACCCAACAGGATTTCTCTACCCCTCATTGGCGGACATTCCACTCCAGAGTTTCTGGAGATTAATTCCCTGTTATCTGACTGCAGAAATAAGACTGCAAACAAATCTGCTGTTGAACACCACTTAATAGTGACTTTCAGAGCTCTACCGGAAGCTCCTGAGAGCTGTGACAGACCTGGACAAGCTCCTCCCAGGAAGTCCTGAAGGATTGATTTTTCTAAATAGCATGGGATGGAGAAAAATTGCTCAACCTCTGAAGTTAGTGGTGAAAATAAACCCAGATCACTTCCCCTCAAAGCTTTGGTCCCTCTGCAGAAAGTGTTACCCTTTGAAGTTCACTCATACTAACTTTTGTGCCTCTGCAGCTGCTGTTAACAACTAAGAATACAAGCCAACACCTTCTGGTGGTGTCCCTGTCTAAGACACTACGGCACTTGGTAGAAAAGCTAAAGATGGATAAGAAGTAATAATAACAATAATAACAACAATAATAATAATAATAATAACCCCCAGTCATGTGATTTTTGTTACTGGGCTGTACCAGTTCACACTGCACACAGTGGAGAAAATCCTCCTGATTTCCTGTAAGAGCCAGGATGCCAGGAGATCGTAGTCTAGCCTTCTAGACCTTTATTTTATGTCAGGGAGCATTCCTCACTACAATCTGAATTGGAACAACCCAGCAACCTTCCCATTTGGCACCTTTAGCAGCCAAATCTCTCCCTCTGCCCTTCAAAGGTCCAATATTTTAAAGTGTTTGCTCACCTTTCCTGTAAACAACAATTGGGGCAATTTATATGCTGGAGGAAGCATCAATGAAGTACAGGCAAAGCATTTAAGATCAAGGCCAAAAGACTCAAAACACACACACCGCTGCACTGTTTTCACCACTTTTAGGAGTTTTGGCTACCTTGTGGTGTTCAACCATGTTAACAATGCATCTCTCACTGAGGAATTAACAGAAGGCAGAAAAACCACTGTTTATAAAAGGATCCCATGATTTGTAGGCCCTATGCCAGCTGCGGACTAAGCATCAACTCTTAAATAAGGATAAACTTGACTGGCATAGTCCTTAACGTGGTCCTCAACATTATTTCCCAGCTATGAGAAATTTCTGAGTTAGAAATGCAGGGAAAAAAATGACCAAACCAATTCCTTCCTCAGATATTTTCCCCCCTCCACATCCAAAGCGAAATCCTTTCCAGAAGTCCATTATCACCAGAGAGCAGCTGTTCCAATGTTATTCAGCTCCTTCCACAGCTGTGGTCGAAACAGCCTTGACATAATAAGGCCCTTCGCGCAGGTATGCCCTGAGCCTCAAGTAATGCTGGTTTCCAAAGATTTCAGCGATGGTCTTTGAATTGGCCAGAGCCTTCACAAGTTCGTATTTGGCCTCCTTTGAAGATTTGTCTGGTTCCACTGATCTGTCTACGATGTATTCCACGAAGCCTGGACTACTGAGCATCATCCTCTGGGCCCAAGGTTGACTAGCAATGGCCTACAGCATTAACAAAAGAGAAAGATTTAAGACATTATTCCTGCTCTTCTATTCCAAAAATTGGATTTCCAGGGCAGTGAATGCTCCTACTAAAACAACCTTTTAAAAGTAAAATATAGCAGCAGCAAAACATAACCACCAACAGCAATTCAGCCTGGAGGAGAACAAACTTAATACATCATAGCAATGTTCTTGATTTTCTTCAGAAAACATGAAACAAGTCCAACACACTTCATGGGGAACACTGATCTAGAGCCTCACCTTCACCATGGGCAGAACACAGATCAAGAAGAATTAGAGATAGATGTCCTAATCGTAGCCAGCATTAATCATGTGAAATCCTGGGGTGGATCTTAGCTCAGGGATAGGAAACCTGTGGCCCTCCACATGTTGTTGGACTCCAGTTCTCTTCAGCCTCAGCCAGCATAGCCAATAGCCAGGGATGATGGGGGGTGGAGTCCAACAGCATCTGGATGGCCACCAGTTTCCCACCTTTGCCACTGAAGACAACCTGCATGCCTACAGCAGACAAAGACTTTCTCCTACAGCCCATTTACTTAATGCCAGTTCATTCAGTATCAGCTCTGCTTTTATCTCACAGTTAAATCAACTGAAAGGTACAGTCTGAGCAGAGCTCCAGATTCCTCAAAGTCTGGTGTCCCATACAGGATTTCATTAAATCTGCAAGGACTAGACAACTCAAACAATGGGCTTGGGTAGTGCTGTGGTTTCCAAGCTCTCTCAAAAGGACTATTAGGTACATTCATTCAATCAGACAGGTCTCTGTTGTGAAAAAGCACTTACAGTGAAGACCTTTAAGGCACCACAGTGGAGATCAGGGAAGGGCTGGGTACTGATGCTCCTGAAGAGTTCCAAGGGCTGGCTGGACAGAGAGGAGAACCAGGATTCTGTCATGCCCAGGTGGTCTTCTGTCTGCTGGTCTGGCTGTATGTAAAATATAGCAAATGAGTTTGCAAATGCAGCTGATAATTTACTGTCTTGAGGGAAAAAATAAGGATGGTCAACGTGGTACCCTCCATATGTTGTAGGACTCAATTCTCATCAGACCATGGCCAAAAGTGTGGATGGGATGATGGGAGTTGTAGTCCAATATCTGGAAGACACCACGTTGGCTGTGCCTAGGTCAGAGGAACACATCACCCTCAAGCCATCCTACAATTTACTCCACCTGCACACATGAAGTGTGCAAAACTTCCATGCATGCAAAACCTTTATAACAAAGGCAGCATAGTCACATTCTGCTTTTAAGCAAGTCTGTAAATGCACATTTCAGACACTGATTTGTTCTGTGCACAAATGTTTGAAGTTGAGTGGAAACGCAACATTTTTTTCCTTTAACTGTTTATTTATCTTTTAAAGGTATTATACAGAACCATAACGTTCAATAAACTCTCGAAGCACTTAATTTTTGTTCATACTTTTGATAAGTCTGAAAGGCTGACAAACAAGTCAGAAAAAATGTGAGTTATAGTTCTCTTGCTTTAACACATCACTAGTGGATATCACAGATGCAGAAAGCTACCCAATTGTTATTGCTTTCTTCCAAGGGCTGATTCAAACCTTTAATGCTCCATTTTTCATAAGAAACAGAATGTTTTCAATTCCATAAAACTTACTTGCAGATACAAAAGAGATGAAATTGCCTCAAGACACCGGACTCTCATCTCTGTCGGGGCATTCTTTGCTTGATGTCCTATTCTGTTTAGCACATGATGAAATCTACTCCCTGGGAAGACAAACTTTTTTTAAGCTTTCCATTACATAGGAAGTTGCCTTATACAGAGACCAGACTATTTCTCCATCAAGCCCAGTATTAGACAATACCTGCTATGGAGAGTAATATCTTGAATTAACAATCATTTTTGCCTGTGGACATGGATCTGTTGCTTGAGTTACAACTAAAACCAGAAAATCTCTAACCACAGTTTGTCAATAAAGTTGCTCCAGATCTTAAAACCAAGTTTTAAACCATGTTTTGACTCTCCCTCCCCAGCCTAGCTGCTTATGCTATGATAGCAGCAACACTGAAGAAGGTTCTGCCAGCCATGTGTCCCAGCCAGCATGGCCAATGCCAGCAACACCTGGAGGCTGACAGATTCCCTATCCCTCCCTCCAGAGACTATCACATTCATTAGCAACCCTTGTACTTGAGATGAAACATTTTCCCACTTCCAATCAAACCTCCTTTCAATCTGAAGTTTAGAATTATGCAGGGTACATTTAAAGCCTTCCTACATTCCTGTGACAAACTCTTCAGACCAATATGATTATAGCTACACATACAGACAAATGTTGTACAGACCCTTCTTCTGTAACACTAGCTTCCCTTCCACAGTTGACCCCAAGATCCCAAGTGTGTCCACTGCCACGCCAAACATGGTTGGGTCTTGGCTTTCTGCCATGCTG